GGGTTTAGGGGTTACGGGTTTGGGGTTAGGTTTTAGGGGTTTAGGGTTAAGGTGTTTAGGGGCTTTGGGGTTTAGGCTTGCCGCTGGAGCACTTTGTCTCCGAGGGATGATGATATGGGCAAGAAAGGCTGTGGCTCGCGCCGTGACTTTCTCGCATAAGCTCGCCGGACCATCCGAGGTCTCGACCCTGATGCGATCATTGCGTGCCCAGGCAACGAGACGTACTACTTGGGCTACCATCAGCATTGGGCGGACGAGCAGGAGCTAAGCCAGCATGGCAGACAAATTTAGATCTTGTGTTCCTAAGCCCTAAACCCCCCCTAAACCCTAAACCCTAAACCCTATACCCTAAGCCCTAAACCCTAAGCCCTAAGCCCTAAACCCTAACCTCATGGTAGAGAACCTGCAACCCTATACTCCCAAAGAATGGTACACCGTCGCTCAAAGCCCAGCGGCTTTCAGCTTTCTTCGCACTTCGGGGTTGTGGCCTGGGTTTAGGGTTTAGGGTTTAGGGTTTAGGGAACTTCAGCTTACATTAAGCCCTGAATCCTACGCGTGCTAAGATTTAACTGTGAGGGTTTCTTGGGCCTGGAGTGCCTCTAAATCCCTAAACCCCTCAAATCCCCGAAGCCTAAAGCACCGGGATTCGAAACCGTAGGCTGCTTGCGAGTCCCTTGTGTTGAATGCTTTACTCTTACAAACAACCGCTGCAGAAATCCCATCAAAGCCGCTTAAAGTTTCCGTAGCAATGCTTAAGTATTCCTGAAACCTACCCTTCACTCTCACCTGGAGAATGATAAACGGTTTAGGGTTTACGGGTCTAGGGTTTAGGGTTAAGTATTACTGGGAGGATGATAGGACTTCGCAAGTAGGCTGTAAGTGCCTTGTGTAACTAAATTTGCGCCTGATTTGTAACCCTGGTTTCCGAGTCCCATGACGCTTTAAGTAAACCTAAACCCTAAAGCCTAAACCCTAAAGCCTAAAGCCTAAAGCCTAAAGCCTAAAGCCTAAAGCCTAAACCCTAAATCCTAAACCCTAAAGCCTAAACCCTAAACCCGCAACCCTACTCTATCCCTAGAGGTTTAAACCCAAAGCC